ATTAAAATGGATCTCGGGAAAGCAGCTTCTGGATTCTTCTGTGATTCATTTTTTCATTAATTTTCTATTTATTTGTGATTTATTTAAAGATTTTTTTTCGACATCATTCTTAATAAAACGTCGAACTCTATGCGCAATAAAAGTTATAGAAAGAAACAATCATGGCATGTTTAAAATACTATTATAGATTGGAGAGACTGAGGAAACTTACGGAAACTTCAGTTACTATAGTCAGGCGCCAGACCTGAAACAGAACTTGTGACCTCCCGAACACGCAGGGGGAGTGCTAACCAGTCAACCGTGGGGGTCACTTGGGCGGTTTGTTCTAGATTAAAGTGAACCACGATGTATCCTGGCGGGTATTTTGTAGTGGAGATGATGAAAATTAGTTGCACGACAAGAAATATTTTGCAGTAGATAATTTCAATTTTTCAGGGGAATTAATGCATCATTACAATAAGGAACAAAGCAAATTATGCACATAGTAGCGCTCAGTGTTTGTATTCGGGAGAAAATTTTTCGAATTTCGACACTGAAACCGACCATCCTGGTTGTGGTACTTTCTGGTATTTCTAAGTTCCTCCAGGCGAATGAAGGATCATTATTTTACATTCGGCCATGCCCCTTTATTTCCATATCCTTTTCAATTAATTATTTACCATCATCGAATCAATGGACGCCATAGAGTCTGAGTTATTGACAACGTCGTTAAACATGTTACAAACACAAAAGATATTGCTGTTTGTGAAGTCCTCGTGTAAATATGACGTTTGATAACATCGGGTTCATACATGGAGAAAGCAAACAGTAAATATCATATGGAGGGATAGTTCATGAACTTCTTAATGATATATAGGAGCGTCATTCATGAAATATTAATGTTAATGTCGTTGATATTTCTGATAGGTAATAACTCACAGTAGTGTTAGTGTCGCTAAAGTCAACAATAATAATTGCCCCATCTGGGGATCAGAGAAATATCAGGATGTTTGGCAACATGAAATTAATTTCCCCAGTCTAAATATCTTATGTGCTCTCGGGACGTAATGCATTACTAACGCTTTCTCCCTGAAGATGGAGCAGTGTTCCAGACTGCAACGATTAAATCTTTCGCGATAACGCCTTCTTCCCGCAAGATGTCTCTCCCACCGCTCTAGAAATGTGTGACGGCTCTTCAGTAACGCCTTCCCAAGCTAATAGATCCGGAGGCGTGGAAGAATTGACTATCGCATTCACGTGACCGTCCCCTTTTAGTTGTCCCTGTGCTTAACTAATTAATCACCACTCCATGAAGGCGTAAGGGGCAGTAAATATATAGATCCACATTTTCTTTACCTCGGAGCTAGTTGGAGGTGAGTGATTAGCTTCGAGCCCCTACCGCTTTACCCCAGAGAAAGAGCCCCGATTACCCATTGGATAGGAGGCTGGGTGGGCCCCAGAGCCGGTCTGGACGATGTGGAGAAGAGAAATTTCTTTACTCTACCAGGACTCGAACTCCGATCCCTCTGTCGTCCAGCCCGTAGTCAGTCGTTACACCGACTGCGCTATCCAAGCTCATCCTAACATATATTAATGGGGCCATATCAGAATTGTCGTCTCTTCACCGAAACTACATTCGCCGAATGAAAAATTTTTGATATTACTTAGCAGCAATTGGAATGAGTTTTCAGTTTGGTGGTAAATGAAGCTCAAAACTGTAATTTTGTCTGTGGTTCTGTATGGGCGTGAAACTTGGTCTCTGACATTAAGGGAGGATCATAAACTGAGGGTGTTTGAGAACAGGGTGTTGAGGAGAAAATTTGGAACAAAGAGAGATGAAGTGACGAGAAGTTGGAGAAAATTGCATAGTGAGGACTTTCATAAACTGTACTCTTCTCCAAGTATAATTAGAATGATCAAGTCAAGGAGGATGGGGTGGGCAGGGCATATAGAACGAATGGAGGAGAAGAGGAATGTATATAGTATATTGGTGTGAAAGCCAGAAAGAAAGATACAACTAGGAAAACAAAGATGTAGGTGGTTGGACAATATTAAAATGGATTTTAGAGAGATGGGATGGGATGATATGGACTGGATCGATCTGGCTCAGGATAAGGACCCGTAGAGGGCTCTTGTGAACACAGTAATGAAGCTTTGGGTTCCATAAAATGCTAGGAAGTTCCTGAGTAGCTGCGAAATTTGAGGCTTCTCAAGAAGGACTCAGCTGCATGAGTGAGTAAAGGAAACTAACTGAAATGTGACGAAATACAGGGGTTGTGTTGAAGTCTACAAATTTCAATCCATTGTGTTAAAAATTTAACGAACTGTTATTTCATATGCTTTTTACAGTATGCTTCTATCATGTGTGGATCTGGAGTTACTAAAGGTTAAACTTGCACGATGTCTATAAACACCTGGGCGTATGTACTATTGTACAGAATGAAGAGCACGTGCAACGGCGAAGTTTGCATTTTATTCAGCCCCGCATTTCCACCTGATGTCCCAGTGTTATCAGCTGCGTCTGGCAGCAGTATAACTGCGTCTTGACGTGGCGTTTGCACACCGCTTCCGTCACGTAGGCCTGCACAGGAAGTTATTCAATTTTAGATATCACTTGCACACGGAAAATTTGTAAACATTTTATACGGTTCGCAACAGACTAACGCCTGGCCAGCAGTGGTGAGGCAACACGCATGACAGAGATGTCGGAGAAGTAGTAGATGAGGCACGGCGAACAAATTTCTGCTTATCTAATACGTGTGTTCTAATGGAACATGATATACGGCGATGGCGTATTTAAGACAAACTTACTAAAGTAACGATAATAAAGGATATATGGCTCACCGTGCCTATCAGTTAATGATATAATTTAGCATCATAAGTGCGGCAGTGTTTCAAGCACGGCTTGTCGAGGAATGTGTCCGTACTTGTTAGACCTTGCCCGCTTGATTGATGTAGTATTAACGTCAAGAACTTCCTCGTAAAGGAAACAATTAAGTAAAAAGTGTAGGACAGAGACTGTGGTATAAACTGAAACAAATATGTTATTCTCTGTTAGATCCGATGGCATCCTGACAAATTCACACACACACACACACACAAACACATGTGTTTGAATTTACTAATTTCAGTGACAAATAAGAGTGGAACGCTGTATTGTGTTGTTTAAATATATATCCCACATACATTCTTTGCGAGTTTTCATCCTCCTCTGGCCTTTATTTGTTGTAGACATAGGTCTAATATTAAAAATTTAACCGCAATAAGGATAGTTAAAACTCTTAAATTCGCATATTGGGGCGTGGAGTCTAGCTGGGTCCACTCGGCACTTCGGCCACTGATTGGCCTATTTTACTTGCCCCGGTTGATTGTGATGATGGAGAATTTGGTGGAATGAAGATTGGAAGGGGAAACCGAAGTATATTGAGAAAACCTGCCCCAAGGCCACTTTGTCCACCACAAATCCTACTTCACCAGACCCGGGGTGGAACCCGGACCGCCGCGGTGGGAAGCCAGCGACTAACCGCTTGAGCTACGGCGCGGCCAATAAGGATATTACACTGCGCATTGCCTGAATTTGTCCTCCCATTCTATTAAACATGTATAAATCGAAAAAGAATTAATATAAATATTTATACTGTATTACTTAAAATTTATGTTTTGTATTAAGTATATTTTCTTTTATGGCGAGACATATTTGACATATTTGACGAAGTGTGATTTGAGTTTTCATTTATAGTTCGGACGATTAAATTCAACCGACAATATTTAACACAGATATTAATGAAGGAATGCCGACGGAAGAAACGATACTTCTTCGTCCAAAATTTGAGCACGGATATTTCCCTGGTGCCTGAGCAATAGACAGATCCTCAGCTACTTATTACAATTTGTATTGTAACATACTTTGCACCACCTGATGATATGCCGAGGCAGTACACTGTAGTTCACCTTAATTTCGACAATAACTGTGTTAATATTGTTTCCCTTTCTAATTACTGGTATTGCAGTCTGTTAAATTTGCCAGTGAAGAGTTGTATTCATGCCTGTTTCTCCTACCGTCTACATATCCCACCCATGCATCCTCTTCCTCTAAATCACTCTAACAATACGGCCACAGACGAAGAGTTCACATAATGATTCTAGTTCATGTCATCTTTATACTCGTAATAGCAGAAATAAGGCTAAGCGGGCAGAGACTGCAACATCAACATTCGGGCTACTCCGGAGTATCGACCGAGAGAACAAATTCTAAAGGGTAAAGCTGTCTTCCCTTGTGGTGCTTATAAAGAGTAGTGTTTTGTCAGAAGCGAGTATATCCTTCTTGCTAACACTGGCAAGTGTTAGAATGGTGACTTTCAGCTGTAGATTTCGTCATACAGATAATGTTGTGTGTCGAATAGCAAGCGAGCAGTTGTTCGCCCATGGCTAGAGGAGTTAAGATCTTCTGCCATCGACATAAGCCACATTTCTATGAAAAATTAATAAAAACCCTTTAATGATCTACAATACATAAATTACCCGTATACCAAGGATTTTATTTGATTATTTGAAATAACAAATAGAGAATTAAGAGATAACTTCGAACCGTTATCAGAAGGCTGCATAAAGCTGGATTGCGAGGAATATCAATCAAAATTTGTATTTCTCGTCATAATTATTAATTAACTCCCTGGAACTGAGCCCTCATTAAGAAGCCGTCAGTTTCGTAGCTACTCAAGAATTTCTCAACATTTTATGGAACGTAAAATTTCATTACCGTGTTCACAAGAGCCCTCCACTGGTTCATGTCATGAGCCAGATCAATCCAGTCGATACCACATCATCCTATCTCTCTAAGAACCATCTTATTATTATTCTCCCACCTAAGTCTAGGTCTTCCTAGTGGTCTCTTTCCTTCTGCCTTCCCAACCAAAAATCATCTATGTATTCCTCTTCTGTTCGTCATAAATTGACTGCTTAAGTTATAAAGTTGAAACTAGGGACATTCAACATTTATCGAAATAATAAGAAATGCATACACAAATTTATTCAGGAAACCTGAGGTGAAGAGAGCAACCTGGAGACACAGTTGTCGATAAGATGATAAAGAAAAACCTGATAGTATTGGAATATGTGGAGTGAAGATTTGGACGCGAGTCATCAGGCTCAAATCCAATCCAGTGGCGGGCTTCTGTGAAAAAAAATGAAATTTCAGGTTTTATAAAATGCGGGAAAATTGTCCCTTAAGTGGGTTATTACTGGCTTCTCCTGAAACAGAGATATTTTGTCTAAAGACAGAGTTCTCTTATCATCATACTATGTTTATTAATTATTAATGTAATAAAATTGTGATAGAATTTCTCCAATTCGTGGTATACGTTTGCAGAATTCACTCCTAGCTATCATATTTATCTCCTCAGCTTTGAAATTTGTTTATTCTACATAAATATCTGTTTTTCCGAAGTCAGTCCTACTAGATATACCACACTGCACAGTGTCATGATGTAATTCTTTTGCACTTTGTTAAATTTAAAACATCAACAAATTGTTCAAGTGAAACCTTCAATTCTTAATGGATTCTGTGTTTTATGTTATGTACTAATTCACAATTAAAATGTAAAATGGGCTGTTTTAGACAGAAGTTGTTTCGTCTACTTCATCTGAATGTAAAGTATTGGTAATATTGCGTGGTAAGGAACCAAATTTAAATACACGTGAAAGAATTTGTGTAAACACCAGAAGCAGAGTTAATAGAAAATCATTCACTACCTTCGGAGTTGCAACATATGAAAACAAGGATGAGCTCGATCTCTTTATAACGAGCCTACTTTATGCACTTCGTGCGAGGGATACATAATTACTACAGACTTCAGCAACAGAAATGTTGCGGTACTATAAAAACGTAAAAATCAAAGAAAGTATTGCTTTACTTATTTAATATCCTTAGCACGGCACAGGTCAATGCGTGTCAAACTGTCCGATAATCATGAATAATTCACTTCGGATGTGGGCAGGAGGGGGGGGTCACGGACAAATGGCATTTAGACCAGTCCGTCTCTGCAATCTGGATCGCATTGACGCACGCTACTCTCATGTATTTCTTTAGTTACTTTTGTCCAAAAAACTAACTATAGGGTGCTCCAAAGTTCTCTCGTGACTTTCAACAATAATACATTGGTCTTTCATTCTTCCTCTTTTTACTTTTATTGAGGCACCAGTTCTGCCATTCATGACAAGAAATTCAGACGAAGTCCGCCTTTGTTCGGCAGTAGCATAAGTTAAAACGTTTTTGCTTATTTTCACATAATTCAAACCTCAGTCCTGCTTTCTTATTATGGAATAAATTTCGTAGCTTCATATTTGCACCACGACTTTCTATTAGAAAAGAGAATCGAAGCGGACGATATGTTCTTTTGAAGATAATCGGATAATTGCTTGGTTTACTTTCTCAAGGTCATGGAGCCTATAATCGCTTTTGACCAAATCTGTCACTTATAAAATGGTGTCGATGGGATTTTTCCCGACGCTAGAATCGGCGGAAATTGACTTAATTTCCCAAGCCACTTCACGGACTTTCATTAAATTTTCTACTAAACATCAATACTAAAAGTTGTAGCGCGAATGTACGTAATTCTGGCCATGTGCATTCCGATAAGTTTACTTATGACATTTCAGCCGTTATGCCTTTATAACAATAGTGTTGTACTTGATGATTTTATTACTACATTATTAACAAACCTATACGTTACACCCCATGCAATACACGAGTATCGAATCTAATGTCGCATGTCTAAAAACAAGAAGTTCCGCAAATCACTTACTTTCCTTTGTTACGATGTGCACCGCACAGAAAACGACGTGTCAAATAAATCTATTGTTGCATGTGTATTTGTTGACGCGGTAACGCTTTTACCGAGCCGTTGCCTAGCAACAATAGGGAATACGCATACAGACGCACAGACTGATGGAATGGATTTATGAAGTATACCGTTGATATGGGCTCAGGTGACACGATATGCATACCAAGTTTCATAAAGATTTATTCAGGCATTCAAAAGTTGATAGACTGGGATACGCAGACACACAAAGTGCATGGTGAACTCATAGGCCTGCCTGATTTTTTTTAAATATGGAAAGTAGGCTAAAGAGGAGATTTTTCGTATAAAATTTAAGATATAGCTTAAAATTCGATTAACTTTGAACTTTACTTCACTCTGCACTTTCGTTTCCTTATTTTCTTACATATACGTACGAGTATAAGAGTTTTATTCATAGAAACAGCCCCCATTTACGCGCAGCGCCAATAACATTATTGAGTTGGCTTAATTAATTTCTCGTTCTGCCATGTGGTGACATGATCACCAGTAGTTGCGCGCAGAGCTCGTTTAATGTTCTTTATGTTATTACTGTGCTATTTCAGCTGTAAATGATTTATTATTATTATTTCTTGCAATTTACAATCAACTCTACAAGGGAGCAATAAGTAAATATGTTGTAAGAAATCACATCATCCAGTGATGTGCTGTAAATGATGAACAGAATCGGAGTCACCAAGTTTACAGCTGAAAGACGGCTGTTCAATAAGCAGTCAGCGTCTCTAACATTCATGGAGTTGATGTAGCAGTCAATCTAATGTTCTAGGCGTGTATCCGAGAGGTAATTGATACGAATTCTGAATCTGTGGTCACCTATTCTAACTGATGTTGTTCATAGTTTTGCTCAGTACTTATAGATAAACCTATTAATACTACTGAGTTTATTTAACCTCTGTTACTGAAACGCTGAAGCTGTATCCTCGGGATCTACTGCTCTTGATACTGACTCTGCGAAGAAGAGAGTCGTCGATTTATGCTTCTCTCTTACATTCTCTATCGAGGAAATTCACTGTGGTCTAAATACCATACACCTGTACATTTAAGGGAATACAAAGGAGCGGGGAAAGTAAATCTGTCCCTGTAAGAAACTGTGGAGGCCCATAGGTTTGCGAGACGTCGAGGCTACCACATTATCTAGACAGTCGGCTCACAGATGGCAGTGAGGTTGATAGACTTGCACGCCGGCCACCCATTACCCCCAGGAAGAATCCTTGTACTCATTTCTCTTAAAGACTGTGTAGAAACCATTGCCATCGTGCATTTGGATAGATGTTTTCAATTGAAAAAAAAAAATTGCTGTTACGCAGTGATCAAAGGTGAAATAATTTCTAACAGAATGCAGCAGTGGGGGGAGACAAGGCGCTTAAGCACGACGATCTCATATATGCTTATTATATCGGTTTGTGCTGGGACGATTGTAATGACTATTGCAGTAGTTAGATATTAATATTAATGGAGCCATTATTGACAGGAGAAACCAAGCAGCCCGAAAATTCTTCAACAGTTCCCACCTCATGACTCAAGGTACGCGGGTTCAAACCCGGTGGAGGTCGTGGAATTTTTAAGGGCGGAAAAATTCAGGGAACAAGTCCTCCGGGAGGGACTTTAAGCCGTGTGTCCCGTGTCATAGATTTACGGCACGTAAAAGAACCTCATGTCTCTATGAGACCTCTGAGCTAAATTAGGTAATAATTTCCGGCCAAAGTAGTTTCCAATGCCTCTGGTAGATGGGGGAAGCATCTAGGTACCGAGGGCCGACCTCGTTGGCTCAACGGGGCTGATAGCACGCACCGTTACCGGTAGGGTATGGCGACGGTAGAAATTAAAAGGGGGACGCACAATGGAGCAATAATTGTTCTAAGTGCATGGGGAAACCCACCCCCTCTACTACTACTACTACTACTACTACTAAACGAATGATGAGTGAGTGTCCTGACTGGCCTACCCTCATCCAGTGCGTGCAACTCGCACAATGGCGAGTGACGTGAAACGGCTTAAACAGGCCCTACAGGGCATCACAAAGACAAGCTTCAGGATGGAATTAGGTAACAGATGTATAATTGTCGACTTCAGAAGGAAGACTCTGTTCGATTGAGCTACTTAGATATTTAGAAACGTGTCAAAAACCAATCGTTACATATCCTTGCATGTAACTAATAAATTAGTAATAAGAGCAAAGTGCCGAAAATATCAGCCAAAATTATCGTCTCGTGGCCAACGAGTCTAAAAGTGTAATTCTGATTATGAAGCCAGATCGGAGTTCTCTATAGACGTGTGCGCTGCTGTGGAGTCATTCTGTCAGGATTGGAGTTCTTCCTGCGCTTCACTACGCCACAAATACACATGGGGGAGTGCACGTATATATACGAATATATCCACATTTTATAGACCTCGATACTACGTGTAGTTGAAGATGAGTGTTTTACTTCACGCCCCGGCCGCTTTAGCTTCGGAGAAAAGCCCCTGTAGCCATTGAATAGGAGAGCAAGTGGGCTCTGGAACCCGTCTGAACGGCTTCGGGAAGAGAAAATACTTGATCCTAATTGGGCTCGATTTCCGACACCACTGTCGTCCAGCCCGTAGCCAGTCGCTAAACCAGCTGCGCTATGCGGGCTCCTGTGAAAGGATTATGCTTTTCAAAGTACATGTTTTGCTTTACTTAGCTTTGTCACATAGGATGATGTTTTCTTTTTTTTTTTTGGAAGCCATTTTCAACTCAACAATATCATGGGCATGCGCGGTAAAACGACTATATCATGTTTAATTAAAACAAATAGTTCCCCTTCATTCTGACGAAAGAGTAAGCTTAAAGTTTAAACTGAGTTTACATTTAATTTTTCAGAGCGTTCATGCACTTTCTCAGTTAAAGCGATGCTTTGTTTGTCTCTCACTGTCCCGTTTATTGTCTCTGCATTCGTCTGTTTTCATTTTGTTAGGATCGACAACCTTCCCACCAGTGACAACAACTGAACACAATAGCAACACACGGAATATAAGCAGACGGTGCTGCCACATCGCGCACANACCTCTCGTCAGAGAGGGCGCCCCCCAATGGACAGGACAGTAACTTTCATTCAAAAATGAAATATCTGGTCATGAGCCCCAGCTGGGGCTCGACACCAAGACATACAGACTGACTGACCGTCAGTTGTAACTGAAACTTGACTTGACTTGACTTGACATCGCGCACAAAACTGCAACCGCCGTATATCTGTGTGTGCGCGCCTTCTTTTCTGAAGTAAGGGACGAAACGAGTGATGGGACGGGACCTGGCCGAACCTAACGTCCTCTTCTCGAGGAATTACTAAGCTGGTGG